ATAGAATCTGATATAGGGCTGGCAAATGAAATTAATCTTTTAAAAAATATTATGTTCAGTATCTCTCATCCTCAAAAAGCCCCTGACTTCTAAAGCAGGGATAAGGAAAACCCATAACTTTTCAGAATTAGCTCACAGTGATTTAAATTAGTAGTTGAAATGTATCAGCTTGATGAAGAATTATCTAAAACTCATTTTATAAAGCTTATTGTTTAAAAAACCACAAATGCAATGGTTCTATCAACCTACAATTAAGAGTTTTCTTTGCCTGGCGTCCTTGTTTAAGTAAGAAGTGGCCAGATACAACCTTAACATATTCAGAACATCTTCCCAGATATCGTAGTATGAAATGTGAAATGTTCGTATTTTTCTAGTTTTATATACTTTTATTTTCTACCAATTACTCTTTGACTTAAGTAGACTAAAATTATTGAATGTAGATTTCAATCAAGTTAAGAGAAATTATCATTAGTTTATGGTCAACATTTAAAGGAGGGTATATTTTATATATATATATATGTATTCCTTGTTACACTTATTTTGTTCAGATTTCTATGAATGTACCAGCATTTTTAAACATATTTGTTAACCAGAAGCAAACAAAACAAAATTTAAAAAAAATAAGGAAAATGGTACAAGGAACAAAATGGGATGTTTTGCATCAATTTAATGTTGACGAGTAGTGGTTTTAAGTGTACTTTTTAAAAAATGATTTTAAATGTATCTTGAGATATAATAATTACGCATAATAGGATTTGGGACTATATTTAGTAATAATATCTGTAGAGAATTAGGAATTGATATGTGTTTTATGATCAGCAGTTTTCTAATCCATAGAAAATTGAGAATTAGAAATTAATTTGTTGGGACTTTTAATGATATTACAAGAGGATAAATAAGTATTAAGTCATGAAAAGCTTAAATTATAGAATTATAGGGTAAAAGGAATTTAGAAGTGTCCTTCTTTAGGTTGATAAAGACTTTTTTTTTCTAAAGATTTTATTTATTTATTTGACAGAGAGAGATCATTAAGTAGGCACAGAGGCAGGCAGAGAGAGAGGGGGAAGCAGGCTCCCTGCTGAGCAGAGAACCCGATGTAGGGCTTGATTCCAGGACCCTGAGACCATAACCTGAGCCGAAGGTAGAGCCCTAACCCATTGAGCCACCCAGGTGCCCCGGCTGATAATGACTTTTAACAGTTATTAAAGCTGTGTAATTCTGAATTTTGACCTGGAAGAGGAAAGTGGGTTGAAAAGGACCATAGAACATAGGGACATAAAAGTGGGCAAAGGGAACCTACATAGGCAATGATTACAACTGTTCACATGGGAGATGATGTAGATTGTACCAGATGTGTACACGTGAAACTATGTGTGTGTGCACTTACCTGCATATAAAGAGTGAGAGGGACAGAGAGAACATAATAAATACGTTGATGAGAAAATGAACAGATTTCGTATATGCCAAGTATTTGAAGCATGCACCTATAGTTTATTTGATGACTGTGAAGTTTCATTTACAGTTTGTTAATTTTACTCTCATGGTATTTTGTGAGAAAGAAGAAGAATGCAGGAAGGTATAGGCAGAAAAAAAGCAAAAACCAGCCTATCAATTTCACCACCGTGAGAGAATGACTATTAACATTTTGATGTCTTTCCTTCCAATTTTTTTCTATGAATATAGTTTTATGTTTGGGAGATCCTATTGTATATACACCTACCCATCTAGAACTGTGAGGATTCTGAGATTTTCCCTTAGTGGCATGCTAATGGGTTAGGCTGCCTCAGTTTCATCGATGCAGGTAGATGACCAGAGACCTTGAGGTCAGAAACAAAGGACTTCATTGCTCAAGGTGCGGAGAACAGTGTCAGCGTATTTATGTCAGTTCTCCTTTCCTCAAGTCCCATGGAGGCAAGGCAGGGGGCTCAGATGAATAGCTGGTCTTACAGTGGGTTACATTACAAGAGAAGAACACTGAAAAGATTCAGAACCTGAATCTTTTATAATGGCAGTAACGTGCCTGCCCTTTGCTCTGGAAGGAGATGCTATTATATGAGGGCAGTAAGCATGTCTACCCTTTGATCCTAAGGGAGAAACTACTTCTGTCTTCCAAGGTTATTCACTATACAAACATTCTGGAAAGATTGTGAGAAAAGAAAATAGTGCCTTTGCTTGTAAAACATGCTGAAATATGAGACATGTGGAGAATTGTCTCTCAACAAATAAACATTTTCACAGATCTTTTTTCTTTTTTTTTTTCCTGTTTTGAAGATTTTATTTATTTATTTGACAGAGAGAGCGAGGGAGCACAAGCAGGGGGGGCAGTGGGGAGAGAGAGGGAGAAGCAGACTCCCCAGCAAGCAGGGAGCCCAATGCAGGGCTTAATCCCAGGACTCTGGGATCATGACCTAAGCCAAAGGCAGACGCCTAACCATCTGAGCCACCCAGGTGCCCCTTTTATCCTCAATATTTTAAATGCTGCATTTAGCTGTAAAGACTGAAATGTGGAGGGCACCTGGGTGGCTCAGTAGGTTAAGTGTCTGACTTTGGCTCAGGTTATGATCTCAGAGTCCTGGGGCTGGGATCAAGCCTCATGCCCCACACTGAGCTCTGCAGGTAGTGGGGAGTCTGCTTCTCCCTCTCTCTCTGTCCCTCCCCCGACTCTTGCTGGTACATGTATGCTTGCTCTCTCTTTCAAATGAATAAAATCTTTTTAAAAGGAAGAGTGAAATATGAGATACAGCATAATTCATGATCAATCCCCAATTTTCCTCCTAATGATTTCTTAGGTTGTTTCCATTAAAAAAGCTTCACATGGACATTTCAGTTTGGCACAGAGTAGGGTAAAATATTGCAGTCACCTTACATGTGTGGTAGTTAAGTTGGAGTAGGTAGCGAATGGGCTCTCCCTGATTTGAAGACTGTGCAGCCTCTTCAGCCTGGTTTTATGTACAAATATGCATGAGCTGTGAATGGTAAGCATGTCTGTTGTCTCAAGATGTTATCCAGAAGGAGACAGGCTGTGTGAAGCTGGATTTGAATGCTGCTGTTGATAGTCCAGCCTGCACTGGTTTTCTTCTGGAAAGTGGACATATTCCCTGACATTTCTGCTGCTCATGTCTGACTGAGCCTCCAACAGAAGGTCCTACTGCCTGCCTTTAGCAGGGCCCAGAAAAGTCCATACAAATCCCTGCAGGGAAAAGGGGGAAAATCTGAGATCCAAATAATGACCATCTTGTTCAGACATCTGGAGGGGGCCTAGTCTGGAGTGGGCCTGGTCTGGGAATTAAAGAAAGACAAAACAGGATCATGACCAGGTTTTAGTCCTGGGTCTTCTATGCAAAGAAAATACCCAGTACAGAGGCTTTCCCAGGGTTGTGAGGTCTTATAAGGTATCTAGAATGTGGCAGAAGTGACGCAGATTGGGACAAGACTTCCTCAGTGTTGAGAAGGACTAAATGAAAGATACTAGGAGAACCACTGTCTAGTTAGAAATAGTCCCCCAAAATTCCATGTTGAAATTTGCAACAGATGTTGCAAGAAAAATGAACTGTAAAATGGGAGGAGGCAACTCTAATATTATTTTGAGTAAGCTATAATCAGAGATTAAGGGGGTGCCTGGGTGGCTCAGTGGTTAAATGTTTGCCTTCAGCTCAGGTCATGATCCCAGGGTGCTGGAATCGAGCCCCGCATCGGGCTCCCTGCTCGGCGGGGAGCCTGCTTCTCCCTCTCCCACTCCCCCTGCTTGTGTCTCCTCTCTCACTGTCTCTCTGTCAAATAAATAAATAAAACCTTAAAAAAAATCAGAGATTAAGGAGTCAAAGCATTGTAATTTTTTTTTTTAAGAGGGTGAAGAGAGGCAGAGGGAGAGGATCTCAAGCAGGCTCCACACCCAGCATGGAGCACTCCCTGAGGCTCAATATCACAACCCTGAAATGATGACCTGAGCCAGAAGTAAGAGTTAGCCACCCAACTGACTGAGCCACCCAGGCACCCCAAAATTTATAATGTTTTTAAAGATTATTTTGGGTGTTGTTCTAGGGAGACCAGTGGGCTGCAGGAGTAGATGCTGGTGGTTGGGACAAGTCTGGTAGCAGTAGATCAGTTTAGATAAAAAATGTCTTTTCAGGTGCTTGGATGACTCAGTTAAGTGTCTGCCTTTTGGCTCAGGTCATGATCCCAGGGCCCTGGGATTGAGCCCCGCACTGGGCTCCCTGCTCATCAGGGAGTCTGCTTCTCCCTCTGCTCTTCCCCCTGCTCATGCTCGCTTGTTCTCTCTCTCTCTCAGAAATAAATAAAAATCTTTTAAAAATGTTTAGATAAAGAATGTCTTTTGGAGTAAAACCTATTGAAGTTGTTGATGGGGTGTCTCTGGGAAGAAAAGAGAGGGAAGGAATTAAGGATGACTTCTAGGTTTGGGGCTTGGACTACTCATTGGTTAGTGGTACAGTTACTAGATAAGGAAGACTGAGGAAGGAATGGTTTTAGGTAGAATAGCAGGAAAGCATCATTAATTACGTTGAAAATAGAAAGGACTCCTCTACTAAATATCTCTGCATGACTTCAAAAGAAAATCTTACATGAAAAAAAATGATATTGATATTTAAATTGTTGCCCCGTTTTGTTGGGTTGTCTTGGAGTACCTAGAACTTTACTTGGCAAACGGGTGTATGGGTGGATGGATGGATGGATGGATGGACGGACAGATGGATGGATGGATTAAAGTGTCCTAGAAGTGAATGCTCAGACTGATTCCCTCCTTTTCTAATTTGCAGCTTTGTTTATGAAACCAATGAAAGATGGCTCCTTCAGAGGAAGCAGTGCATGAGTCTCAGGGATTCTGACCCAAACTACTATGTCCATTCTGAGACAAATGTCTGTCTTAAACATTGTCCATAATTCCTTCCCATTAAGACAAAGCTCCATGGTTCATTTCAATTATAAATGACAATTTTTTTTACACTTTGTAAAAATGATCACAATAATCTTTATTTTACCAGACAGGAAGCTCTGCTTGCGGCAATCAGTGAAAAAGATGCAAATATTGCCTTGCTGGAATTATCTGCTTCCAAAAAGAAAAAGACACAGGAAGAAGTTATGGCCCTGAAGCGGGAAAAAGATCGACTCGTGCATCAGTTAAAGCAGCAGGTGGGGCCTCCTGTACGAAAGGTGTGTTTGGCTGGTTTGGGGGCCTTGGGTGCTTTCTCTGGGTTTAGCTGCTCTTCATTCTCCCATGCCCATCGTGCCGGCTCACACAGTTAAAACCAGGTAGGAATGATATTGCCCAAGTTGTTGCTGGAACATTCTTTTACTGCTTTTCTGTTTATGTGCATGTGCCTGGGCTTGTGTGGTTTGCAGCCAGCGCTGTTTCCCTTTCCTTTATATTCACATCATCTCCCCAGAAATAACTCTCAGGTCTCTTCCTTCCAGTGGACTTTGTATGACTTCTGACTATTTCTTGGAACCTACGAATTAAATTCTGGGCACCTTCTTTCCCATTGGACCTGTTACCTTCTGTCTTGCTCACTTTCTGGGCCCCATCAGTGACTCTCCTCATCCAGTTCTTTAGATTTCTTTCTCTCCATACTTCCAACCTTGGTTCTTCAACTAGTTCCTTTAGAACCTTTTGACTAAGGGACATCTCCCAGCTCCCAGCACTGCCAGACTGCTTGGAGACCTCCCTGGCCATTATTTAGCTATACATTCTTTTTATCACCTATTTACTCAATTATCCCAATTATCCCATCTTTTTCCTCCACTCTAGGCCACTGTATTTCTTCTGAGGGAAAAGGAAGGAGGGAAAAAGGAAGGAGGGGCAAAGACCTAACTTGTACAGAAAGCAGTTCTTTTCTTTTTGGAGGGTTTCCTGGAAGTGGCTTGAATGGAAGTAGCATATTGCAAAATCATTCCTGAAATCTTCAGACCTTATTTCTTCTCCATATATAACTCGGGGGATTTTGGAAGCAATTGTTAAAGATATTCCCTTGGATTCTAGCTTCATTATATAACCAATTCTGCATATATTATGGCTCAATGGTCTGTGGTCTCACAAGGTGGCTGTCACATCTTAGCTTAGGCCACATGTGGCTCTGAAACTCTCTAAATGCCACGTGGTACACATGGAGTGTGTCCACATCAATTTCAGCCACCAGCACTGGTTCTCTGCCTGCTAGGGTGTCTGAGCACAGAGTGCAAGGTGAGTGGAAAGGAAGCCCAAAGAAATAATCCCCTTCCCTTCACAATTGGGCCAACTCTTTCCCTCCTCAGGAAGGAAAAGTCATCCTTTGGCCCCGAACCAGAGTCCATTTCCCATAGGGCTGCCTTGCTGAGAGAGAGAGACCACTGCCACGCCTGGGTGCCCTCTCCTGCAGAGGGAGGGTCCCAGTCACTGCCAGACATTGGGGTCATTCCACAGAGCAGCATGCCTCACTAGTGCTGGCCCTGGGGGTCGGGAACCGCTTACATCTGACCTCTTTGTTTGGGGCTGTGTATCTTCTACACTGGGTTTCTACCCACTTGGCCACAGAAAGTCAAGATAAGCCCCCTTCTTTGCTTTCTCCTAACTCTTTCCTGTGAACCCTGCACCCTCCCCTCCTGCACCTAACCATTGTAGCTTTCTCCCACAGGTATATAGACCTAAGAAACAGCCCCTGAGCTCGAATATACCATGCACTTGTGATGCTGGCTACAGCCCAGATATTACGGCCAAGTACCACGGGTCCAGCTACGATGCATACATGATCCAAAGGTCTCAGGTCAGTCAGTAGCTAAGGAGACACTTGCCCCCACCATGGGGGGTGGTGAGGGTACATAACAGCTACATCCTGCCTTGCCCTTTCCCTCTTTTAATGATTTCTAGTACTTGGTGGCCAAAAATCCTGTGACCATAGATGATAGCATTATATCTTGATTTGTAATGTGATTTCATTTATTCTGTATTTGCCAAGGGTTCCAGACTTGGTGGCTACCCTCTGGGACCAGCTCTTCTGAAATGGCCTGGCATTGCTGCAAAGCCAAGACTGCCAGAGGCCTTATGGTCAGGCATAGTGGATTATATTTTTCTTTCTGTCTCTTAGATACCTTGCTCCCCAAATCTCCCTCTACTTTTCCCAATAAGGAATTTTTTTAAGCCTGTTTTTTTTTTTTCTTTCTCAGCATCATGAAAATGCACTCCTGGATTCCAGGAAGGATTGAGTGTAGCCCTTCAATTTGCTCCTGAGAAACTGCACAAAGCCTTCATTATTCACAACAGGCTTGGTTTTGGGTATCATGGGGCACATTTGGGAAACCCAGCCACGCAGAGTTAGGCTTCCGCCTGAACTAAGGCACGGTCTGAAGGGCTGTTGTGGAAAAAAAAGGCAGCAAATGAGAAGGATGGGCTCCTTGATGATTTAGGTTTGAAATCCTTCCCCACACCCTATAGGCAACAGAGGGGGTGAAAAAAAAGCACATGAATTGATGTAACCTTGTTGTAAATGACACGATTCTAAGGATAATGATTAATTAGGTTATAAAAGCACTCCCTTTTTATTGAGCGTTTGCTCTGTGCCAGGATGTGTATCCAGCGTCCTCAGGGACTTCGTCCCCTGGTCCTCATGGCAGCCCTGTGGTGTGGGTGGCAGGATTACCTCCCTTTCCCAGGGGGCGTAACTGAGACTCAGAGTGTGAATGACCAACCTAAAACACACAGCTTGTAAGCTGTAGAGCTTAGGTTTTAGCTAGTCCACCTGAGTCCACACATACCTCACCCGGTTCAGAAAGGTATCTGGAGCGACAAGCAGAAGTGTGTTGCAGAAACTGTGAGGTCCCCTTATCTTTGTAAGCTTGAAGTAGATGGCATGTAAGAATGTTCTCTGGCTATTCATAAGGGGTGGGTTCTGCCTAGAGCTCTTAGGCTTAAGCTATTAGATCATGTCAATAATTCCTTATACTTCTGAGTTTTCACCACATGCCAGGCATCAGTGTAAAGGTTTTACATTCACTGACTCATGGACTCCTAATGAAACTGAAGGGCTGATACTCTTATAGGAGAAGGAACTGGTGATCCAGAGAGGTTGAGTGCCCTACTCAGGCGTCAAAGCTGGACATTCCATGATGCTTGAAAAGACCCTTTAGCACACAACCATAACTGTATTTGCAGATGCCATCTAGAGTTGGACTGCTTAGGGTTACTCTTGCTTGAGCACTTGTTAGCTAGCTGTGTGATCATGGACAAAATACTAAACCTCCATAAACCTCAGTTTCCTTGTCTGTAAATTGGGCTAATAATCTAATTCAAAGTATTGTGAGTATAATGTAAGAGCTTTGCATGTGCCTGGCACATAATAGGTGCTGTATATTTGTGAGCTGGCATGATTACTGCTACTACTACTACTGTTGCTATTACTAACTGATTTTGTCACCACCAACCCTTAGAGGTAGTTTGATTTTGATTTCATTGTTGATATTTTTCCACAAGCCTGGGAGTCATAACTTGTTGAGAACACATCCCTGAGCTGTGGGACAGACAGACTTCAGTACCTAAGTGCTCCTGGTCCTCCCTCCCTTAAAGCCCAAGCACTTGGGGAGCAGTGAGCAGTCATATCAGGAACCGTTGACCCCAGCACCCAGGGTGCACTACAGAGGCTCATAGTACTCATTAAATTTGCTTGATTTGTGTATGCAGTCACATAGAGTCAATCAGAGAGGGTGCCTCTGGGAGATTCCCAAACCTCAGCTGTCATCACTTGTATGACTGACACCTGTATGACTGACGGTCTTTCACTGTCCAGGTCAGTGGGAGGGGGAGGCCTGGGTCTGGGTGTTCATCTGCCCAGTGTTCTGTAAGGATACTGAAGCAGACTGGCTCATGAGAGATACCACTCTCTTCAGGCTGCCTTCTGCTCAGCTCATCTCATGCAAATCTTCCTACTGCCCATGACATTTAGTAGTTAGTTCAAAGATCCCCACAGATATTGCACTTTGCCAAGAACTTAGTAGGCACACAATAAATATTTATTTTGTGAATGAATGCATGATTCCCACATGCCAGGCTCTATGCCAAGTGCGTTATGTATACCTTAGTTTACAAACATTATCTTGCTTTTTCCTCATGATCAACCAACCAACATATTGCATGCCTGCCATGTGCCAGTCTCTCTACCAGGTCCTGGCGATTCATTCATAACAGTTATTTTATCTGCTGCAATGAGGAGAGCATCATTCTTATTTTTGAGTTGATCAAACCAAGACCATATGACACAACTACCATACCTATAACATACCACCTATATCTGGTAGTGGAGGGCTGGGCATCTGAGATGTAGGAGTGCTGACACTTTGCTCTTAACTAGGCTAAATACTGCATCCTTAAGGCAGTAGTGTGAGCCATGGATTAGCCCCCATACCTCACAGATGCTGTCAGAGGAATCAAGTTCCAGTGCCTCAACCTCTGGCTCCCAAGCTGCCCAAGGGTACAAGGATGAGGTATGGGTATGGGTAACTCACTGAGGCCAAGTACCGTGTTGGAATTCAACTCAACAATATTCATTGAGTGCCTTCCCTAACACATTTTTTAAATACATCAGTGATCATGGGGCGCCTGGGTGGCTCAGTGGGTTAAAGCCTCTGCCTTTGGCTCGGGTCATGGTCCCAGGGTCCTGGGATCGAGCCCCGCATCGGGCTCTCTGCTCAGCGGAGAGCCTGCTTCCTCCTATCTCTCTCTGCCTGCTTCTCTGACTACTTGTGATCTCTGTCAAATAAATAAATAAAATCTTTTAAAAAAAATAAATACATCAGTGATCAAAATAGATAAAGACCCCTTCCTAGTGGAGCTTATGTTTTAATGGTTGGGGGGTAGAGAATGGGAGAAAGGCAATAAACCAGAACATAATAAATAAGTAAATAAGTAAAAAAAAAAAAAAAAGAATAATGTAGACCAGTATAAGGGAGAACAGAAGTGTCAGGGAAGGATTGAGGACATGGTAACAATGTAAAATAGGGTAGACAACTGGAACTCATTGGGAAGGAGACACTTGAGCAAAGACTTGAAGGAGGTGAGAGAGGGAGAGTCCTTTAAATATCTAGGGGAAGAGTGTTTTGGCACAGAGAATCACCAGTGCAAAGCCCTAAGGCAGGAACATGCTAGTGTGTTTGGGGGAAGAACAGGGAAACCAGTGTGGCTGGAATAGAGTAGGCAAGGAGATGAAGAGGTGAGCTGTCAGAACATTAATGGGGTGGGGATAGGATGTGTAGGACTCTTATGCAGGATCTGCTGAGAGTGGTACACTCTGGAGCAGAATTTCTCTGCAGTTAGAAAACAAAATACATTAGCCATGCAAACCCAGAGCAGGGAGGACTCTCAGGTACCACTTGGAGTGCCCTGTCTAAGATTGCCCTACTTGAGCCCACTCTCCCCTGCCTTCAGCTTCTAAGGAGTCCTAGTGCTTAGCTTATGTTTGTAAAAAGTATTGCCACTTCCACTGGAAGAACTAATACCAGAATTTACTTGTCATAGCTAGTGAGATTTTTGAGTGAGAACAGAGCCCTTTGACAAAATGCCCTCCCTGACTTTTTGACAATCTCAACAACATACCACTAGAGTCTAAATCCTGCACTCTCCTTGCTGTAAGGAGACAGGCAGTGGTCATTAATGGCTACCACCATGCCATTGGCCTACTCAGAGTGACGTCTGTGCCAAGGGGAAGTGCAGCCTGCCTCCAGGCCAGGCCAGGCCAAGGCAGAGATTCTCAAACCTCAATGGGCAGAAGCTTGATCTTTTCTAAAGATAAATCTCATGATACACTTATCACTCTCTAACCCTTACTGCTGAAAAATCTTCCCTGGCTTCCTTTACTGGAGTGATAAAGACAAATTCAAACCAATATGTGCTCTGCCTTGTACATGATATGCAATCCCCTCGTCCTGGAATACATTTCCCTCTTTTCCTCACCTAGTTAATGCCCCATTCAATCTCAATCCAACATCACTTTTTTCAGGGAAGCTTTCCGGAACTTTCTCAGTTGTGTCAAATCTCCAGTTTGCCATGCCTGTAGAATATGTACATCACTTAATTGCACTGTAACAGATGCAATTTTGCATTTGTTTTTGTGATTATTTGAATAGTAGCTATCTGCCCTGCTAGTTTATGATCTCTATGAGGACTAAGAATGTGACCCTATCACTTTTTTTTTGTTGACCATTTATCTCCAGGCTTCGCAGAATTGCTAGCACATAGTGGGCATTTAGTAAATATTTGTTGCAAGTGTAAATGAATGAGTGGGTGAATTGCCAGGGCAGCTTGTTAAAAAAAGAGAGACATTATTGATCAATTATGACTTTAGACAAAACTTAGCATTATGTTCTTCTCACGCCAGTATTCCAGGCAGCCACCACCTATAGGAGTTGGTAGAAGATATGAGACTTGTTTGCTAAATGATGAACACAAATGGTGTCATGTCATGTCCTACCACATTGCAAGACACTTTACAGAGATGCCTTTTCCCATACTTGAATTATGTGCAATGGTGGCCGTTTTGAACCTTTCTTCTGAATCTGTTCGCTGTTATTTTAGTCCAACTTCCCTCTAAATTTGGGGATTCTTCTTAAATAAAATGTCACTGAGTTTCCAGATGTGGCAAAAGTTACTTGTTGTTATGAAGGGAGCCCCTCTACTTCATCCCTGAAAACTTCTGAGTATCGTAAATCAGTTTGCCTAGAAATACCTAAACTCCTGTTAAACATCTTGCAAGAGAGCTAGAGAAGGTGATATGAAATG